ATCGCCCCTAACTGCTCCCCTGCCAGCCTGATCACCCCTAACCACCTCTGCCTCAGCCTCCGCCACCATGGCTTTGTCCGGAAGGAGGACTGGACCATCGAAAGATGTCTGGTCAACCCAGTCTAATTAACATATTACCCTTTTATTAGTATAGATCAGGGGTCCTCAAACTTTTTAAACAGGGGGCCAGTTCACTGTCCCTCAGACCATTGGAGGGCCGGACTATAGTTTAAAAAAAAAACTATGAACAAATTCCTATGCACACTGCACATATCTTATTTGAAGTAAAAAAACAAAACGGGAACAAATACAATATTTGTATTTGCATGTGGCCCGCAGGCCGTAGTTTGAGAACCCCTGGTATAGATATTTCCATAAAATAGAATGGCTGAAGCAAGGACCACTTAGGCTATGTTGTTCGCCACAGTGCCCTTCAGGAAGTCTGGACCCGTCTCTCCTCCCACCACCATCTCCTGAGCCCTACACCGCCCGGACACCTGATGAATGTGCCCTTTCCAGCCTCTATTCTTGGGCACACATCACAGCACCAGACACCTGCTGTTCTCAGCCCACTTGTTCCTTCTTCAGAGGATCCCCTCCCCGTGGACTGTGGGGTGCCCCGCTGTTCCCCTTCCAGGCCTTGGTTTCTGTAACGCATGCCTCCATGGAATGAAATCATGATTTGTAGTGTTTGGCGCTGAGCCCGAGTGGGTCTGGTTCGCTGTTACGTCCTGGCGGCCAGCATGGCACGTTACAATGGTCAGAGGTAAGGGCTCCTAAAGGACCCAGATCTGCAGTGGCTCAGCCACTTACTCACCTGAGCGAGCACGCTACCTGCCCGGCACTGTGATGGTGGCGTTTGAATGAGATACGGCGTGAGGAGGGCGCAGCACGCAGTTTCACACACGGCGTGGGTGCCTGGGGTGTGGCTCGTGGGTGCTTGTGGGCGCCTCTCTGTGCTGGGCCCGGTTCTGCGTGCTTTATGTCAAAATGACATGAAATGGAATTTCAGTGTCCATAAAGTTTTATTGGAACACAGCTTGCCCTTTCGTTACACAGTTTGTGGTGGCTTTTATTGTCCCGTGGCGGGGGTGAGTAACCGGGACCGAGATGGTGTAACCCGCAACGCCCAGAATATTTACGATGTACCCCCGCGGAAAGAGGTTGCTGGCTCGGGTTACAGTATGAGCTCATCCAATGTTGCATAATGCCGCTGTCATGTCACCATCCCCCTTGTACACGGGAGGAACAGAGGTACAGAGAGGTTAGGAAATGGGCCTGAAGTCACACCCGGCCTGGAGGTGGTAAAGATGGGGTTTGGTTCCCAGAGCTGGGCTCTCCCTGGTCCCACCCTAGCGCAGGTTACTGGTGTTTGCAGGTGAGGGACATGAGACATGAAGAGGTCCAGCCGGCCCTAGCCGGTTTGGCTCGGTGGATAGAATGTCATTGGCCTGTGGAACTAAGGGTCCCGGGTTCGATTCCGGTCAAGGCCAGCCCCTGGTCAGGCTTTGTGCAGGAGGCAACCAATCGATGTATTTCTCTCACATCGATGTTTCTCTCTTGTCTTTTCCTCTCTGTTCCACTCTCCCTAAAAATCAATGGAAAAATATCCTCGGGTGAGAATTAACAAACAAACAAACAAAAACAAAAGAGGTGAAGTTGTGCATGTGTGAATGGCAGCATCAGGATTTAGGGCCAGTGCAGGGACCTCCGAGTTCTCGGCCCTCCTGTCACCCTGGGCTCTTTCTACCCCTCCAGGTTCCTAGTATCACCTGCTAACCACAAAACCAGACACACAGAGGCATCCAACATGCCCTTAAAAATGCAGGCGCCCGAAACCAGGGAAATATGATGACAACACTAGATACGGCTGTGGGCTTTCTCCTACATACCAGCTTCGTAAATGTTTGTGGAAGAAAGGAATGGATCTGGTGAACGGCTCCTGAACTCTTAGGAGTTTCGACGCTGGAGGCAGGATAGGGACCTGGGGGAAAAGCAGCAGCAAAACCATGACCTGGTCATGGGAAGGAGAGCTTGCTAGGCACCAGTTATGTTCCTCAGCGGGTGAGGGGGGAGGTCTCACAACACCACACACCCTGCCGTTAAAATTCCACTGCGGGGAAACTGTTTTCTGGGCATCACAACGGGCTCTACTTTTGTGGACTCCAAATGGTTGGTTTCTTTAAATAGCTTTGTTGAGATTTCATTTACATACCGTGCAATTTCCCAATCTTAGGACATTTTCACCACCTCAAAAAATAAATAAAAGCCTGTAACCTTTAGCTGTTGCCTCCACAACCCCCTCCCAGGCTTAAGCACCTGTAATCTGCTTTAAGCATTTGCCTATTCTGGACATTCTGTATAAAGGGAATCCTACGCTATCTGGTCTTTCCTGACCAGCTTCTTTCACTTAGCGTGATGTTTGCAAGGTTCATTCACGACGTCTCAGCATCTGTACTTCCCACGTACCATTCCTTTCTGTGCCTGAGTAATGCTCCCTTGTAGGACTGAAGGCCACATTTTATTTGCTCATTTGCCAGGTGATGGGCATCACGCTGTTTTTATTTGGGGGGGGCGGTCATTATGCATAATGCCGCTCTGAGAGTTTACGTACAAGATTTTGAGTGGACGTGTGTTTTCATTTTCCTCGCGTATAGATGCCCGAGTGGAATTGCTGAGTCATATGGTAACTCGGTGTGTAACTTTTTGAGGACCTGCCAGGCTGTTTCCCAAGGCGTCTGCACTGTTTTTCATTCCCACTAGGAACTGCCTGTTCTTGCTCATAATTCACACTCCCCCTTATTTTCTTAAATATGTTTTATTGATTTTTAGAGAGAGAGGAAGGGAGAGGGGTAGAGAGATAGAAACATCGATGAGAGAGGAACATCGTTGAGCGGCTGCCTCCTGCACAGCCCCTACTGGGAATCGAGCAGGCAGCCCGGGCGTATGCCATGACTGGGAATTGAACCAGTGGTTCCTGGGTCGACACTCAACCGCTGAGTCACACCAACCAGGCCATACTCCTCTTTAAACACAACGTGATTCCATTTATCATTGTTTAGAGAACGCCGAATTAATCCTTGGTGCTAGGTTGCCTCTGGAAGGAGGGCAGAGGCGATGAGGGGAAGGACATGTCTGGGTGAGGGGAATGCTTTCTGTGTCTTGGTGGTTTCGTGTTTTGGGTCTGTGCACTTGTCAAAACTCATCCAACTGTTCACTTAAGATCTGGATGTCTCGCCATGTGTTGATGATGTCTACATGAAAAAAAAAAACTAAAAACAAAACAAAAACATAGGTGGAGGGGGAAAAAGGAAAAAATATGCATTATCTTATGACATGACTTATCTTACCCACCTTTCCCTGGTCAGAGGGCCTGTGCCTGGCAGGCAAGGCCAAGTGTAAAAGTCTTTTAATTGATGTGATTAACTACATCTCAACAGGGAGCCTTGTTAACGCCAAGGGGGAGGCAAAGGAGGTAATTTTTCACTCTCCCAACCAGGGGATGTCTAGGAGCGGGGTGCGTGGGTACTTGGAGGGCCAGTCCCTGCAGTGGGGGAGGGGGGCGTGGAAGGTCTGATTCCGGGCCTTTCTGCAGAGAAGAGCTGCTTTTCCCTTTGGCATTAAGATACATTTTAAAAAAAATCATTTTCTCAGTTGCTACAACACGAATTCTCCAAAGCCAGCCTGACATTTTGTTGTTGTTGTTGTTGCAAGACTGCCTCATCCACCAGAACCCAGCATTTAGACAGAAAGAACACTCCAACTCTTCCTAAATGTATTAGTGGCTGCTGAGCAGAGGACAACAGGATATAAACAAAAAAGAAGTGAAGGGTGTGGCCTCTCCCTCTTAGAGTCTGCAAACAGATTTCATGGTTTGACATAAATTCACAGGAGATTAGGATTGGGCAAGCGTCATTAACTGCCCACGTACAAACATCAATATTATAACATTTTTGATGCATTGCACAAATTGCATCATCTTGTAGGCTAGGAAAAAGCATGTAGTATTTCGCTAGAAAAAAAACACATGGGGTATGCGCGACAGTTATTTGGGGCAAGATGTGATTCCATGTGTGTTTTTGTTTTCCTTGTCTGTGATTTCTGATTTCCTTTCCGATGAGCATTTGTTGCTTGTGAATTAAATTAGTTGCTAAAAAAGTGTTTTGCTGCCCTGGCTGGTGTGGCCCAGTTGGGTGGGCATTGTACCGTGCACCAAAAAGTTGCCAGTTCGATTCCTGGTCAAGGGCACATGCCCAAGTTTTGGGCTGTATCCCGTGTGGCTGATAGATGTCTCTCTCTCTCTCTCTCTCTCTCTCTCTCTCACTCTTTCTCTCAAAATCAATAAAAATATATTTTGAAAAATTACTTTGGTTCTCTCACTGGTTGGAGATACCGTAGGCTCCCCTCTCTCCAGAGCAGAACCCCTCCCTTCTGCCACCCTCAGCTTGTGAAGTTAAGGCGGCTCTGCATAATGCATTGACCCTGAACTTCGGGGTTAGCTAGGTCGGGGTTTGATCCTAGCAGCTTAAGGAAGTCATGGATCCTTTTTTTGTATCTTAATTTCCTCATCAGAAGGCTGGATCTGATAATACTCTCAGGGGTGAATTGGTGTGGAATATACACTGGAAAACAGCACAAAACTGGGCCCTTCTTATCCGTTCCTCCTTTTCCAACCCGCTTTCAGCCCAGGAACTTGCTGGCACCTGCTAGCACTCCACATGACCCTCCGGATGACTTCCGGTAGCCAGGCTGCCTCCCTGAACCATGGCGGGAGCCGGAGTGCACCTGCACGCCATGTTTGGTGTGTGTGTCTGCGTGCACACGCACTCAAGCCCATGTGCAAGGCTTTGGTGTGTGTGGCTCGACGTTAAACAAAACCCCCCTCCGGTGGATGAGTTAAGACTGCTCGCTGCTGGGGCCAGTTATCTATCCCAGACCAAGGGTAGGACGAATTGCAGCCAACATCTGGCTGACAGCGTTCTTTATATTCTTCCCTGTAGCACGGTCCCCGGCTGCGGTGTGTCTTAAACAGCGCGCCCATCACTTTGGGACCCTTCTCCTCCTGCAAACCTGAACGGTCGAATGCCACCCCAGGCTGAAGGTGAGTATTGTGGGGGGTTTTGTTTGTTTGTTTGTTTGTTTGTTTTCCAGGCGTGGGGGAGGGCCCAGTGGAGGATGAATCAGGGTTTGCTGTCTGTTTACCCTGGTGGGGTGTGAGGGATGCAACACAGGAGCCATGTTGTGGCCTCTGGTTTCACCTTCTCCCTTCAGCATTGCCTCCCTGTTCTCGGCTTCTTTTTCGGGCGGTGGTTTTCAGACTTCAGTTTGCAAATGATCACCTGGGAAGCTTGCTACAGTGCAGACTCCTGAGCTCCCCTCCCCCCTTGCTGTCCTAACCCGCAGGCTCTGGGTGGGGCCTAGAAGTGGCATTTTCGACAGACAGCTCTGATAGGTCCATTTGACCAGGAGGCACTAGAAGCAGGTGCCCGGGACCTGTCAGGACTTCACAAACAAGTTTGAAAACAGATACAGTGATTAGTTTCAAAATGGGAAAACAACGCTAAGAAATTAAAACAGTGATACATGGTTACATAACTTTAGAGCAGCTTGTCAGTTGCAGCTCGGCTTTTGCAAACAGGAATTGTTTTTAAGGCAGCCTCTGGATAGGTTTAGCATATTTGATAGGCTGTATGCCAGGGCTGCAAATACCTGGAAAAAGCCCTAACACCATCGACCCAGCTCTGAAAAATAAAACCCTCGATTATTTATTTTAAAGACATGTTTTTATTGATTTTAGAGAGAGAGGAAGGGAGAGGGAGAGAGAAGAAGAAACATTGATGTGCAAGAGAAACATCGATTGGCTGCCTCTTGCACACACCCCAACCGGGGATCAAACCTGCAACCTGGGCATGTGTACCCAGACCACACAGGGCCCACACCAGAGTCATCTTGGACCGACTGGTTTCGTTATCTGTCCCTTCATTCCTCCATGGTTATCTAACATTCCTCAGGTGGTAATCTGGACTCCCTACCTGGGGTCTTTCCCTAAAGAATGGCCTGGCTGTTGCAATGCCTCCCTGCAGTCTTGGTGATCACAGGCACCTGAGCAATCCATCCGTGAAGAATGGGTTGGGTGGGTGGTCCGGGCTGGGGAGTGGAAGGGGAGAACCAGAGCAGAGTCCCCCGCGGACCTCTCCCCGCCTTCCTCGTGTCCAGTCCATTCGTTCTCAGAATGTGGCGGGAGCCTGGCCCGGGCGCCGTGGCCAGTGGCTGCAGGAATTGGTCTTTTGGAAAGACTACTTATCAGGAGCCATCAAGGCGTCCCTTTGACCTTGTAACCCTCCTGGAGGAATGAGAAGGCGGGGCCGGGGGGAGAGGTGTGTGCAGGGAGGGGTGTTTTGGAGCTGGGCGCATTTAGGGGCGCATCCCAAACAAAATGCCACCCAGGGGCACCTGATGCTCTGCGCCCCCGAGTCTTTCCCAGACGCCGAGGGCTCACGATGGAGAGGAGTCACCCACCTTCAGGAGAGCAGTGACAGTTTGTGGTGTCCCAGTCGCAGTCGCACGCAGCGCTGTGTCCTGCCGGGGATTCCGGAAAGTGCAGAAGAGAGCTGTGCTCTTTGTTGGAAAAATGAAGATGTGGGTGCCTACTTGGGGGTCCTAGGAGTATGACAGTTGCTTTTTCTCTTCTGTCTTCATCTCTTACCTTTTTGGTAACCTGCCTTATCCAGTTATAAAAATGGCTTATTGCAACAGAAGAAAAGAAAAATGTATATATGGATTTGTAGGGACCCCTGTGTCCCCAAGAGGGGCACCCCATAGGGGCAGCCTGACATCCCCACCGCTCCCTCAGGCTGTGCGCAGGTCGTGACAGGTGCTCTGGTTGGCGGGGGGTGGGGGAACGCTGCTCCCCGGTATGATGGCTCCCTGTGCCTCACCCACTGAGACAAGCTGCTGAGCCCCCAGCACAGCGCCTGGTACACGCACGGCTCCCTGAAGGACGTGCCCTCTTTCTCCAAGTCTGTGACACAGTGCCACCGCCGGGCCTTTTGTCCTTCTCCTATCCCGTCTCATTTAAAGCCCATCGTAAGGGTCCCAAAGGGACCATTGTCATGTCACAATCCCCATTTTACAGATGGGAAAGCTGAGTCCTTAGTTGCCATTCACAAAGCCTCTGCTGAGTCCCAAACTCGGGCTCTCGGCATGAATCTCCATGGACGCCCACAGGACACCTTAGGGCCGCTCTTCATATCTGCTTCCCACTGTGGGGAAACGGAGGCTCTGTCAGATTATTCCCCAAAGGACCTGCAGCCAGAAAGAATCACGGGCACATTATCCCTGGGTTTTCTGCCTCCACGTCTGGTTGAGTTTTTTCTGTTGAGCTGTGTTGTGCAAGCTTCCTCCATGTAAAGCACGTTATTGTTGGTCTGTTAGGATCCCGCTCCTTCTTCCTTTTCTGGCTGCCCCATGCCTGTCCCCTTTGCTCCCGGTAGGCATCCACCCTGGTGGGTTTGCTGTAGGCCCTGTGTGTACGCTTCCTCCTGTGTTGTTCTGATTGGGTATCTGTTTTGAATTTGGACAGATGGGATTCGGCTACCGATCTCTCTCTGGTTTCTCTCTCAGTTTTGTCTTTTTACTCAGCACAGCCCTCCTTTGGTGTCTGCAGAAGACTGGTTCCGGGATCCCCCGGGGATCCCCGATCCACAGATGCTCAAGTCCCCTGTGGAAAGGGGTACAGTACTTGTATATAACCTACCCGCATCCTGCCATGTCCTTTAAAGGGTCTTTAGATTATTTCTAATTCCTAATGCAATGTAAATACTGTGTAAAGTTGTTATACTGCATTGTTCAAGGAAACGTGTCAAGAAAAGAAAGAGTGCACATGTTCAGTCCCGCCGTGACCATCATAGGTCTAACTACACAGTACACGTCAGCAATAACATAACTCCCCCCCGCCCCCCATGGATGGTTGAATCCACGGATTCGGTGTCTGTGGATACAGAGGGCCGGCTGTTCCATCTTTGTAGATCCCACCTGGTTGCTCTGTGTACACCTAGCTCATACGGGGCTGCGTCTCCCCTCCCCTTGCCTTAGGTCCTGCCATTGGCTGGTCTCGGCCCTGCCGATGAGCCCAGCCGTGGCCTGTGACAGGCAGTGCACACCTGTAGTCGCGTGGACTGTGGGAGAGTCAGAGAAACTAGCCGAGGTGGATGAGTCATCGTGCGTTCACAAGTGCTGCCCGATCGTTTTCCAGAATGACTGTGCCGCTTGCCGGGCCACCGGTGTGCTCCGAGTTCCGGTTCCCCCACGTCCTCCTGGCACCTGGTGCTGTCAGAGGGGGCGGGAAGGATGCATTTGTAAGCTCAGGCGCATCAGGGCACTGGCTTCGCGTCTCTGAGGCGCCTGCTCACTGCACATCAACGTATCATAACAACATCTTGAGCAGGAAGGGTACAGGAAAGGGGAGAGGGGACGCCTTACTTAATGCAACTCTGTCTTGTATTAAGGAAGACGGTTTCCCCAGAAACTCCCGGTAGGTAGACTTCTCTTACTTCTTTTAGTTTTCTTTTTTTGTTGTTGTTAATCCTCACCTGAGGATATTTTTCCATTGATTTTTAGGGAGAGTGGAAAAGAGAGGGAAAGACAGAGAGAAACATCGATGTGAGAGAAACACAGCGATTGGTTGCCTCCTGCATGTGCCTGGACCAGGGCTCGGGCCGGGGAGGGGCCTGCAACCTAGGTACATGCCCTTGACTGGAATCGAACCCGGGACCCTTTGGTCCACAGGCAGACGATCTGTCCACTGAGCCAAACTGGCTAGGGCCACTTCCCTGTGTCTTTTTTTGTTTTTTTAAAATATATTTCATTGATTTTCCACAGAGAGGAAGGGAGAGAGACAGAGAGCCAGAAACATCAATGAGAGAGAAACATCGATCAGCCGCCTCCTGCACATCTCCCACTGGGGATGCGTCCGCAACCCAGGCACATGCCCCCGACCGGAATCGAACCCGGGACCCCCCAGTCCGCAGGCCGACGCTCCATCCACTGAGCCAAACCGGTCCCGGCTTCCCTGTGTCTTATTAGCCAGATGGGACTGGGCGTCCTCCCGAAGGCAGTCCCTGACTGAGAGAATGGCTGCCTGCCCAGGACCCGAGCAGAACTGGGCGTGTCTGAGTCAGGACGAAGGTACAGGGGCTGAGCACCTACTCAGCTATAGTCTTTCACACCAGATCTCTCATTTTGCAATTTTGTGAGTACATCTTGGCTCTTTCGTTCAAGGGACCGTCCCCTTTCACGTCTGTGATTAACCACATGCAGAGTTTCTGATTGAGTCGACCAGCACGCGACCGTGACCTTGGACCCAGATCTGCCCAACTCATTCTGGAATTTGCCATTCTTGTCAGCCGGACGTCAGACCTGTTCCCACGCCAGCGGCCCCAACGTCAGTTTCCTCCTGGGCTCCCCGGGGAGAGGTCAGGACAGAGATTCAGGCGGCCGAGCGCCCACCTCCTGCCCATGCCCGGGGGGGCCCAGGCAGAATGCCGGCTGAGGACAGGTGGGAAGAACACCTGTCCGGGAATAGGACCACAGCAGGCAGCCGCTTCCCCTCAGCCTCGCGCCTGCTGTGTAGCCCTGGTGCTTCTGACTCACCAAAGAAATGACTAGTAAGTTGTCAGTGGTACCCGGTAGTTACAATTTACTGAGCAGTTACTCTGTCAGGCAGCCTGGTAAGCACCTTTTTCCTATGATCTCATCACATATCTGCCCTATCAGGCCCTTTCTGTGTTTTGGTTAAAGCACCGGCTCCAATCAGACCTCCCATAGAATCCCTGTTCGGAAATGTATTGGCTGTGTGGTCTTGGGCAAGTTACCGCACCTTGCTGTGCGCCTTAGCTTTCTCGTTTGTTTGTGGAGAATAATACCAGCATAATGCAAATACTTGATGCGTTAACAAACAATAACTGCTGAGGGTAACACTGGCTTAGAGTGCACACGTAGTTCACGCCTGATAAATATTACCTGTTGTTTTTGCCATTTTTTAAAAATGAAGAGCTCGCCCAGTGTGGCTCAGTGGTTGACACGGACAAGAGGTCCCCGCTT